TAATATTAATACAGAAATTCTTACAAAATTGAATATGCCTCTTGATGCATTACCACAGAAATGTCAAGACATTATAATAAAAGTTGCAAAAGAGCAAACTGAATTAGGTATAGACAATTTGGACCCTAAATCCATATCATTAAATCAATCTAAACAAATATCTAAAAATTTAAATGAAGAATATGAAATATTAAAATTGCAACTTAAAGATAAAGAATTACAAGTCAAAATAGATCGTAACCAAAGATTCATGGATGATCTGAAGAGGGAATTGGAAAGTTCAATAGAATCATTATCCAAACAATCTCCTAACCCTGATAATATACAGGAATGTGTAAAACAAATGAAGCAGAAAGTTGCCTCATATGAAGAGAGTTACAAAAAGGCTATGGTAAGAGTTTTTTTTGTAAAAATTCTATCAAGGGAACAATTTTGAGGGTAAATTATTCATTAGAGTGTCTGCACACATGCAACTAAACTATCACACAACTGTTTCTCGCTTTGATTCCTTCATAGGAATCGAGTAAAAAAGAATCGACTAAAAATCGAGTAATGTGCACTCCGTATAATGATATACGGAGTGCACATTACTCCGTATATCATTATACGTACATATTTTTAGTTCTGCTAAACAGTTGAATTGGCTGTGAAACAATCGACAATCGCACAACAGTTGTGCGATAGTTTAGTCAAAGGTACACCTTAAAATTAGTTTTACTCTAAAAAGCAACCAAATCTGAATATTAATGTCTACTAGAGATTTTGCTCTCGACTCCATCCATGTGGAATTAAAACAAAAAACAAAAGTAAGTACCCTATGTGTTATTCCAGACACCTACACCTGTGTCATATTTCATCAAGATCCATTCAGCCGTTTAGGTTACACACTAACAAACATCCATCCATCCATCTAAACATTCTCATTTATAGATTAGGGGTGGCAAACCTTTACATGTTAACATTTTTCTAATGTATAATACAGTTATAAATGTGCCATCAAATAATTTTGATTTTCTGATTATTGTGTCCATAGCAAATTATAAATACATAGTTTTTTTAGTACATAATAAATATAGTAATCAGTGACGTGTATAAATATTGTCATTAGCAAGCCCATGGTTTGCCACCCCTGACCTAGGGAGTAAGTTTTACAGAGATGTCACTTCATGTGTATATCTAGTGGCAACTTGTATCGATTTGTGACGTTATAAGTTGTCCACAGATGAAGTTCTCAAAGCTGTCAGTACCAGATTCAGTACTGCCGAGATCCCTGCAGACGCAGTTGGCCACTTTGGCCAGTTTACGAGAAGAAGAGGCTATGTGGCGGCAGCGGGCGGATGATGTTCTGTTCACTAGACAAGCGAGAGACGCATTTAGGAGACGGAAATGATATTAAATTTGAATATAAGCTTACTAATATTAAAAACTACCTTTCGCCCGTGATTCCGTCCGCGTGAATTAAAAAAAATCAGAATAAGCTCTACATCTATACAAAAAATTTTAAAAACATTCATCCATCTAAAGTTTTGCATTTATAATATTAAGAGCCTGTCCCACCACTGGCTGATACAGGCTGAGATAACTTAAAGTGAGGTCATTGTCAGATAACGTTACAAATTCCGATATTTCCGTAATATATTCTACACGTTGGTTTGTTTTCAATTTACAATGTGGGACAGGCCCTTAGTATCATATAAAAGTTTATTTTTACGTATATAAAATGGCTCATCAGATTTCTCTAAAATATAAAAGGACATATAGGGGCTTCCTTTTTTTTTAATTCGCGCTGACAAAGTCGCAGGCAAAAACTGTCATATAATAAATTATTTAAAAAAAGGATAATTTGTTTTATTGTAAGAATGGCGCTAGTGTGTCGCGGAGTTCCTTTAAAACAATCAATTCCATAGATACTAAACATTTTGTCATAGAAATGTATTTCAGAGTATGGTATTTTGTAATCTTATTTCTTTAGTTTTTCCTTTTCTATGTAATGAAAAAACTATTAAATAAAACGCTCTATAATAATCAAATATTTATTTAAAGTTAACACAAATGTATACGAAATGCATAAATCATACGTCGATTTAAAATTTTTACTAAATAGATTATAAGCAATACATTAAATATGATTTAAATACCAATATTTAAAGGTAATAGTAAAGTTTAACTTTAAAATTCATAGAAAAGTTTTGTCAATATATTCAAAAGCATGTTTCGTCATTACAAGGGTCGAAAATTCTAATATTACGTCTCATCGTATTCATCAGAAATGAGAGATATCAGTTTCAGTGTTTAAATTGAAAACAGAAATGTCTTTTTAATAACTGCGTGAAAAGTAAAATTGTTAGAATTTCTCAGTTACCATTTTAGTCTAATACAAACTCCAAAAAACAAACTTCCCAAAGATCGAAATTTCATTTTAATTGCGGGAGTTTATGATCCTTGGGAGATAACTAAAATATACTTTATTTTAAAAGCATTTCGTATTGCCTTCATTCTCTTTAAAAAAGACAGAGACAGCAATAGTGTGTTCTAATTATAGGGTTGTCTCGAGCTATTTACTTAAAATCTACGTAATAACCGGTAATTTTATTATCCATTATAAACTAAATTAAAACTAAACTAAAGTATATTGACGTATTTGCCCTCTTTGTTATCGATAATTATTCGAACATCAAAGCTGGTACTTTAAATGCTGTTGTTTTTGCGTTACTCGTGTTTGTGTCGGCCTGTAATTTGTCTTCACAGATTTCAAGAGGTGCCGCTGGAAGATACATATTCTTTAAAAAATGATTTAACTTTTACATCTAACATATTTTAAAAAAACGACTTAAGAAGTTAAAAAATAAAAGTGAATATAGATTTAAAAAGTTATTGATATTTATGAAACGCGAAAGATACGGTTTTTTTCTCATTCGTATATAAAAAGCGCTTTCCTGTAGAAGACGGACATCACTAGAGGATGCGGGGTTAGTTATAGAAGGTCCTAAAATCTTCCTAATATTGTAAATGTAAAAGTTTAGATGGATGTTTGTTAGAGTTTGTAGCCTAAACTGCTGAACGGATTTTGATGAAATTTGGCATAAATTTAGAGGAAAGTCTGGAAGAACTCATAGGTTATTCACTTTTGTTTCTTTCAATTCGAAAGCTAGTCTATAATATTTATAAAACCTCGTTGGAATAAGGCTTTATTAATGGTGCCTTGCAAAACGGTAAGTACGCACAAATACTGTGTAAAGACTGTACGGTTTATGAATGGTGACAGAAATAATACACCTTTCTTCTTTTCCGAATGAAACATTTCTTCTAAAGGCATAACATGTTGTCCGTTTCCCAAACGTCCTCTCAAACCCCACAGGAATATGTTCTTAGTGATAGTATTAATTCCGCTTTCTTTCTTCGTCTGCAACTCCTTGTCCCGCATGTCCACAGTCTGACATTGTATCTCAGATCGCAGATGACTGTAGATAGTCTGTGTGGAGTGGGTCCTACAATTCACTATATTTGCCTGGAAATGTGGTTAACATATTTACCTTTTGTCTATACTAATATTACTAGCTGTTGGCCGCGACTTCGCCCGCGTATAATTAAAAAAAACATACAGACGATTTGATTACCTCCTTTTGGGAAGTCGGTCAGAAATGTAGCCTACGCTACTCACTGATAACGTAGCTTTTTAATTGTGAATTTTAGAAATCGGCCGAGTAGTTTTTAAGTTATTTTAATACATACAAAAATACAGACCTCCCCTCTTTATCTGTACTATCAATGCTATAAAGAGGAAAGATTTGTATTTTGGTATGTATTGAAACTCAAAAACTACTGGGCCGATTTCATACACATAAATTTTACGTTATCAATGAGTAATACATGCCATATTGTTTTGTTATTATTTAATTTCAAGCGGGCGATGTCGCGAGAAACAGCTAGTGTTTATTAAAATGTTGGCAATCTATGGGTTTGATAATTTCAACTAATCTTAAAGTTCGGAAACAACTATTTGAAAATTAGTCCTTAAATGCATATTGTTGCTAAAAGTCTACAAAGAAAATAGTTTTTTGAAAACAAGATTTTCTTAATTATTTTTTCCTTTAATATGTGACTATACTACCTATACTGAAATATTTATTCCATAATTAAATAAAAAATAATGCATCTGAAAGTTAAACATGATAACACAAGACTCTTTGTATCATGATATGGATGATATTGCCTCGCTGGAAAAAAAATGTTTGTGATATCTGCTTATAAGACACCATACAAAAAAGTGTTTGTTAAGGAAATGGCGAACTCTTTCGTATTTGTAATGTAAACTAATTGGGATACCCATTGACAAGCTCTTCGTTTCCATTCCCAGAGATCGGAAGTATAGTTCTTCTCGATATAGCTGTCCATAGGATGTGTGTCTGTCTGTATGTCCTTGTCCGACACCTTAACTGCAAACGTATACACTCGCGTAAATTAAATTATTTAGCAATTCAACGTTTTTTTTTTATAACACAAGGTGGCAAACTTACTTACTCTTTGGCACTGGTTTGGTGACAAGAACACTGACGTCTTTAACTCTCTCCACATCCTCTGCGATATTTAGCAAATTAATTAGATGTGGATTATTCCTCGCGTAATCTAGAACTTCATTTATATACCTACAAGATACAAGACATTCACTTGCCCAGCACTGTTACAGTAGAGCAGACTACACAAGGATTGTATTGATGCACTGGCGCCAGTGATTGTTCACATAATGCCAGTCGTTGAGGGCTATTGTCTAACTGTACTGGCCAAGTGTTAACCAGGCATAAAGGCTAGTTCGCACTAAGCAGGAGCACCACTAAGCGTATCTGAACTTAAATTTATTTATCATATTTCATTTTTTTAGTTGAGCAGTGTAGTGAATCAAGATGAGTAGAGCCGGTTTTAACTTTATAGGCGGCTTGAGTAAGATTTTTTGACGCCCCATAACTGTCATACAAACCCATACAAAAAAAGCGCCCATAACACTTAAGTCAACTGGTACTGTAGACAAGAGTAAGCTAGACATAAAAAACTAATATTTTAATCACAAAATATAATATTTTAAAAAAAATATTTAGATCAATTTTATTCTCCTTGGTAATAATTACATCATCGTACCTCTCTGGTGTGTTACCAAAATGTTTCGCCATTTTATAGCTACACAATCCATAGCGCTTTCCTTGAAATCTGATGTGACCGAGTTTCACGTTGCTCGGCATCAGCGCACCCACTGTCAGAGAGATGGCGCAAAAACCTAGAAACTAAAGCATGCAAATTATATTAAAATTGACATTAGTTGAGGGAACTTCCCGTTAATTCAAATGTAATAAATGGCGCTAGTGTGTTTTCACAGATAAAAAATATAATATTTATGACCATAGACGTAATTTTTATTCCGTCTATGATCGCAAATACATATAAAATTCTTTACGAATGCTTTTTAATTATTTTTCAACACAAACTGGAAATAAAACTTTACTTACTTAAAGAAACTTTTACTTACTTGTACATCTTTTTCTTTAACATTGTACGCGCTACAATTGACATAAGTCTTCAAATATCCAAGCGACAGTTTCTCTTCTACCTTCAAGTTAGTCATACGTTCTTGGTCAGTTAACACTTTTTTACCGACCAACATTCTTTCCAACAAATTGGGTATCTTGATAAGATCATGTATAGAACTGAGAGCGGTGTTCAAACGGTTAACTGTCGATACTAAGTACATAATATTCTGCATATCTCTCCACACTTGCCATAGTTTCTTGAATAATGGCTGAAAAAAAATATCCAAGTTTTTTTGTTGACCATAGATGAAGATTTTTTATCTTTAGCGTATTTACGTTGAAAAAAATATTGTAATGCCTAGTTCGGATTAGTCTAGTAATTTTTTCAAATACAGGAATAAAGTAACTACGACTAAACATTTTTTTATTAGATAAGTTAACTAAATGGCTTGCTATTTGACTAAATTACTAGACATTACAGTAAACACTCTTTAGTTTAGTTCTTTTTATATAATTATTCCTGTACAAAAGATTTTACAGGTTAATTTTTAACGTTGACCATTAAGAAAATAAATGTTTTTTTTAATAGTATTTAATATCAAAAATCATGAAAAAAATGTTATTCTCTCTGTAGAGAACGAGAGATAATTGTTGTGTTGATTAATATTTGCGTTGAAAAGAGAGTACATTACATCTTGTCAATCTTACTAAATTTATAAATGCAAAAGTTTAGATGGATGTTTGTAAGAATGTAAATCCAAAATAGCTCAATAGATGTCGACAAAAATTGACACAGATGTAAGACACTGGAAGAACACAGGAATTTTGAAAGAAATATATTTATTTTTAATACGGAGTCGCGAGCTATAATTAGTACTCACATAAACAGAATCAACTGGCACGGCGGCTTTATATTTCACACACGAGTGCAAATCCGCGAGCACTTTGCGCGTGCGTTCCACACACTGCGTGGCACTTTGCACGAGCACTTGCACGTCGGCAAGTAACTTGCGAGTGTACACTTCGTATTGACGATAAAAAGCAAGCAGAGAATATACCTGGTTGTAGTCCTCACTGCAATTATATTACAATTAAATGGGAAATTAAATAAAATAGACGATGGTAATATCGCGAAACAATATAATTACAGGAAGTTTAAGAGTAGCCCCAGTGGTAGAGAAGGTAAGCATGGTATGGACATGTTGTGAGGAGGAATGAATCGCATGTTACAAGAAGAACGTTAGTTACACGTTAGAACGTTAGGTACACCGGTAGAGGTAGACCTAGAAAGAGATGTATGGATTTAGACTGAGATGACGTATGATAGAGTTATGTGGAGGACAAAAACCTGATGCACCAACCCTACGGCAGTAGGATAAGGAGGAAGATGATGATGTTGGTAATATCGCGAAACAAAAGTCACTTTATTTCGACGACCTTTTTTAGCTTTGCTAGGAGTTAACCTATGTAAGACTGTAATTGTTTGTTTCTAGCGCCCTTTCCTAATGCCCAGGGCCGCCAAACCACGCTCTACCATAATGCCCGGTTCACACTTAGCCAGTACGTAGCCAGTCATAAATTGTATGGACTCACTAGCGCCATTTAGTGTTCACACTATGCCAGTTGATCGTCAGTCTTGTTATAGCACTACTGACCAACTGTACTAGCCAATTGTAAATGTAACTACGTTAGTTCTTTTTAAAATAAAAGCTGGAATGAATAAAGTTTTTTTCCTTGACTACAACGTTCAAACTTACACAGTGAACTCTGGCGTGGCGACAATGTATACGTTTCCCGTCTCTTCCTGTATATCGACGCTGTCTTGTATGGCGGTAGTTAGAATGTTCACTTTCTGCATTATCGTGATTAAAGAATTGGATAGGGAGGACACACACGCGTTGCCCGCCTCTAACAGGTTGAAGGGCACTGTTGAAACAAACTGTAATTTACTACTACTTATGAAACTACTTTTAAAAATCACTTATTTAAAGTTTAACGAGCAATAACTACAGCCAGTTAATATGATAAATGCGAAAGTTTAAATGGATGAATGTTTGTTCAAGTTTGGAGACTAAACGGCTGAACGGATCTGGAAGAAATTTGATAAAATACTTTTTTTTCCACGCGGACTGAGTCGCGGGCGAAAGCAAGTAACACTATAATAGGTAAAAAATAGGATACTAACAATCAGGTATACCATCGCCACCTTTCTTGCAGTCTCTATTAAACAACCTTACTCCAGATACGATATGAACCAGTTCATTCAAATTGTTCATCTTCTCAAAGCCGGGGAGTGCGACGAATACTTTTAAATCCTCCACAGAGAATACGCTCTCTAAAGCCGCTAAACCTTCTTTTAAAGTCTGTGAATTAAGATTTCTTATCAGAGTTAAAGTTATTTGTTGGATATATATATTTTTTAATAAAGCAAATGACTAAGTAGCCAAAAGATTTCTTCTTCTTTCCTTTTCCTAAACAAGGGTTGCAAACTTTTAAAACGGTTTATACGTGTTTTGTTAATTTAATGAGGTCATAGAACTAAGAATTTTAACTCGGAGATTATTGTTATTTCGTTAGTATTCTGATTCCTTCACAATGTTAGTAGTGTATAATGAAATTTGTAATCTGTTTATCAATGGTTCGCTACCCCTGATATAAATTGTCACATTCTCTTTCTACTAGAAATATTTACGTGTGTTTTAATGTTGCCATAAACAATAACCATACTAACAACAATACCGCTAGGATTTCCGAGACCACTAGCTAATATAATATAGATAGATATCTTTCTGAACAACTTTTTATAATCTGCTTCCTCTGGTGCATCAAGAGCCGGATCTTCTTCCATTATCTCTTGTACGAGCGGTCTTAGACACTTGTCTATGGACTCCAGATGCGTGTCTATGAGAGTTTGGAGTTTATCGTAGTTTGTAATCATATTGTATTGCATTTTTAGAGTTAGGATGGCTGTGTCGGCTTCTGTAACCAAAAATGTACATTACTATGGCAACATCCATATCTTACTTTATACTAATATTATAAATGCGAAAGTATAGACGGATGTTAGTTAGAGTTTGTAGCCTAAACCGCTGAACGGATCTCGATGAAATTTGGCATAGACATAGAAGATAGTCTGGAGAATACATGGGCTTTCGGTATTTTTTTTCCAATTCTACGCGGACTTAGACGATAGAAAAAGCTGTTATATCTCTATCCTCTACACCTATGCCAAATTCCATTGAGATCCATTCAGCAGTTTAGGCTACACTCTAACAAACATCCATCCATCCAAACTTTCGCATTATAACATTAGTAAGAGTAAGATATTGAAATCATCCTTCCACTGAGAAGAAATTAAAAAAACAAGTACTTACTCGTCAACATGGCGACGCATTCGTTAACAAAATACTCCAAATTGTCTCTCTTGATAGTTTTAGCGAAGAGTTTACCGTACTTTGGGTTCAGGAGTAACAATTCTATAAGATATGTTACAAAATCTTCCTCCACGAACACAGCGTTAGCCTGACAGTTCCTAGTAACCTCATTCGCGATATTCTTTATTATATTTTCGTTACAAGCCATGATTATTTATATAAATAGACTAAAAATGTAAAATTAAAAAATTATCAATACTCCCGCAATTGTTTTAAATTGTCAATGTTGCCATAGTTACTACACACCTGTTAAATTTTGACAGTTTGACGTAAATAGGGTTGTCATGAAAACCGATAAAAACTTCGGATTTTTACCGGAAACGTATTTTTTTGAGGATTTACGCTACCAGTGGAAAGTATAAGTACATTGGGCATGAAAATGGTAGTCTGGAGTCGCGTTAGTGGAAAAGGGGTTTAAATAAGACAAAATTACATAGTTAATATTTATTTTTACACGTGCCCTTTCGGGTTGTACCTTTCGGCCTAGCGTACTAGAGCATACAATTCCATTACACTGAGTTCCCATTGTCTAAACACTTGTATGGAAACATGTACAACTGTTGCGGCAGTGGAACTATTATACCAAGTTACTTGGTAAAAATTATAATTACTGATTTAAAATTAAAAGAAAAACTGTTTCATATAAAAACCTAACTTGTCATTTACTAATTTCGGCTATTTATAGCAAAAACCAAGTTTTTTTTTTTCAAATATTTCTGTTAATTTACCGATTTTACGTAAAATGTGACATTTATTGTTACAGCTCTACACACGTTCAGTTTTATCTGAACAGGATAGTTCAGATAAATCTGTCGTGTGTTACAGGCTTTACAGTCGAATTTAACGGAAATGAGAAGTAATGACGTCACTGCAGAACGTCATTTCCTGCCATGTCTATTTTTTAATAACTCTGTGATTGCTTTTAAAAAATGTTTAGATGTCTTTTGACCGACTTCAGAAAAGGGGTACTCAATTATTGTAATGTTTTTTTTTTATTTTTTTTATGTGTTACTTATATCTCATTTCTATTGAATTCAACTATACAAAGTTTAGATGTAAATTTGAAACAGAGTTACAAAATTGTTCCTAGTCACATTTAGACATTCACAAACATTAAAAAATTAGTCATATAAAAATGTTTTCATGTACTTAATTATAGTTTATAGATACTGTTATTTTAATTCATAAAATCAAATAATTTTGCATGTTTTGATAAATTATCATAGACAATTTGTAATTTTTTGACCATAACGTCGTTTTTTTTTCATTCTAAGCCTTCAATACAACAGATTATAAATCTAACATGATAGATATTTATTTAAAAATCACTAATATGATATAGTTCTCGTAAATACACAACCTAACAATAATTTCCCAAAATATAAAAAAAAAACAATATTTACTCTGTTGAATAAAATCAAAAGTTGCCATTTCACAGTCAAATAATAGTATATTTAAATGCAAAGCAAAAACATCATTCTAAGTATTTTTTTTTGCTTAAATTCTATCATATTTAATTAATTCTATGACTGAATAAAGGATTGTCTCAAAATACAGACTTTATAGTAAAAGAAATTACATCTTAAGAGCGGGCGCATACCTTTGACTTAACTATCGCACGACTGTGTGCGATTGTCGATTGTTTCGCAGCCAATTCAAGTATTTAGCGCAACTAAAGTTAGAGTAGTGTACCCTCCATATAAGCTCAAAGCGATACTAAACGTTGTGCGATAGTTTGGTCAAAGGTGTTTGCACGCTCTAAGAGTCTATTTGAATTTATTGTTAGTGTTTATCAGAAGACTTAAGAATCTATCAATATTTTAAATGCAATTACGTTGACATACTCCTTATTTAAGTTATTCTTAGCAATTAAATTGAAAGGCTGACAGTTGACGGTTAAAAAACGCGCGTTTTTTAACCGCTCGTTTGCATCGATAAATTCACATTTTCAATCGTAGTAATTCATAGCAAAATTAAAACTAAAAGTTCAATAGTATTCATGGAATCACACTTTCTATGTCATTAAATATATAACGACTTGAACACATTTTTTAACATGACTAAAAAACTTCTTTTCTGTTGGATTAATTTTTAATCTTTTTTTATATCGTTAGCAGTCAACATATCCAATTTTTCATACGAAAATTGACAAAAAAGTGTTTACAAGCGCTACATTTTGACTTGGATTTACTAAACAAATTTTTAGTTTTAATTACTACAGATTACCCTTTCAATCTTAATCCTAACTTATGTTAAATCTATTGTTAGATATGTTTGAACAAGTAAAAAATTATACTTGCTTTAAAATCAAAGACAACAAAAACAATTTGAACAGTAATTTTAAGTCGAAATAATCAAGTCAGATTAAGTGAATTATAAAAAGCCTTTCAATCGCAGAAATGCGTTTTTAAATGTTTCATCATACCGAATATACGGAAACGTTTAGTACCAAATACTTTATACATAGCATCATCGCAAATAGCAAACTGTTTGTTATTAGGATCGTATAGTTTGCGTTCTTTAACAATCGCCCAAACTCGTTTTACAACCTCGTGTCGAGGCATTTCATCTTTCCCCATGAGTTCAGCTAACGCTGGTGATAGTTTATATGCTCGAGTATAACCGCCACCTTTTCCTCTACCACCAGCCTAGGAAAAGACATAATATATTAAAAAAAACAAAGAATGCACAGATCGGGTATCTCTTAGTGTTCTAAAACCTAATTTGAACTTCCGCGGTGTTCTGGTTAAGAAAAAATTGCCTTCTTCATTGCAATTAGACAAGTCCCTTTCTTTTCCAACCATTTTCTTATACAAAAAGAATGAGAAGAGAAAGTGGATTTGACGATGGAAACGCATAGTAAGGGGAAATATCTTTATGTCTTCTCCTCCGTTGTTTAAGGGTAGGCAACATTCTATTATTTTGGATTATTCCGAACCGTCACCTCGCTCTGTCCCCACGTAGAGACAGATGAGAATAATAAGTTTCATTCGTCCTATCTTTTGCGATGAGGGAACGGTTGGAACTTATTTTATTTTATTACAGATCCATCGGTCACCTTTTTGGTTATAGTGAGACTAAAAGGTGGGAAGGATGAAACTTTTTATTCTCACGTGGGGACAGAGCGAGGTGACGGTTGGGAAAAATACACAATTTTTACTGCAGTAAGCTTTTTAACCCTTAATCTGATAGTGTGCGGTGTGACAAGTTAATTGAAAAAAATTATTTAACTCACATCTTCAAGCGCATTTCAAGTCCAAAAATATGACTACTATAAGTGATTTTTTTTTGCCACAAGAAACCGTCAAATTAAAGGTTAATAAAGTAAAACAATACTTTACATACGAATTTCATAAATACCAGTTTTCAAGAAATGGTTGATATTGTCTATTTCCAAAACAGCCTATCTGATTTTAATGAAATTTGTCATAATAATACATAGTACATATTCTAAAAAAACAGGCTACTTACTAAGTTTTTTTTCTACTTGTAGGCAAAAATGTTATTTTTAAGTTACACCTTAATGCTTTAAGCTGTAAATAATTATAAATTTAATTTCTTACTTTCTTAGCTTTGGGAGCCTTTTCCTTCTTCTTTCCCCAATCGCTGTCGGAATCTCCATCTGAACCCTTCTTCTTCTTACCCTTTTTAGCGGCTGGTTTCTTTTTCTCTTCCTAATAGGAAAAATTGGAGTAAGTTGATTTGTAGTAAGTATAAAGTATGTAACAAAACAAAATGTAATCTACAAGTCTTGGGTTCGAATTCCGCCTTGTAACTGTGATTTATGAAGTTTTTTTTGTTTCAAATTTCATAGTAGTCACGGAAAGCTGCGGTGTTCCACATTTAGAAAAATTGCATTGCAGACGTCAAGTGTGAGCAATTCCACATACACTCTGATAAGTGTGGTGCCGGAGCTCAACTTTAACCCCTTTTCCTTATAAGAAAAGGATGGAAAGGGGATATATTATATTCTGTTTTGTTACTAACATAGTATAAAAACTTACTAACAATTTTATAAGCTCATTGTTATGCTTGAAATAACATTATTATTAATATTAAATATTATTATTCATTAGTGTAGTATGGTTGACTAAACTAATCACCTAAATTATGTAGGATCCGAATCCCCAGGATATTTAAGCTAGTGATCAAAATAATGAACTTAAGAATTTTACCTCAGATTCACTTTCATCTGATGCTTTCTCATCATCTTCATCTTCTTCATCACTGGATTCCTTGCGGGATTTCTTAGCTGATCCCTTAGAGGGAGGAGCTGCTCTCTTCGCCGGTTTCTTCTCTTCTTCCTAGAATATAAATTCATTTTCAACCTGTTTCCTTTTAATTAAAATATGAACATAAATATATTGATACTATTTTTCACACGCGACTCTGTCCGCGTAGAATTAAAAAAAGCAGTAGGCTATGTGTTTTTCCAGACTATCTACGTCTATACCAAATTTAATCAAGATCAGTTCAGCAGTTTAAGCTACAAACTCTATCAAACATCCATCCATTCATTAGTAGGATTAGTGATTACTGACCTCTTCATCATCATCATCATCATCGTTCTCTGACTCAGAGCCCTTGTTGTTCACATAGTCCATCACCATTTGATCAATGATCTTTTTCTTCTCCGATAGATCTGTGCCAAAGCTTTTCTCAAGCTTCTGGATGACTTTCTTAGTTGATGTTGTAGCCAGGTTTGCATTTTTCAATATCTCTGAACAATTAGAATTATTACATGAATTAATATAATAAACCAATTTTTGCAAAAACAGCAATATTTTACTATTAACTTTTTATTTTTACTTATACTAAGGACTTTCTAGATATTGATATTTAGCGCGCAATGATAAGTTTCTGAACGCAACATGGCGGCCGTACTAAAAATGACAAACCATCTATATTTAAAGAATAAACTCACATATTGCATATATTTATCTATTTTAAAGAAAATGTATCAAATAAAACCTTTTCTAATACATTATGCGCTCTGTTTTACATTAAAATTATTTCATGAAATGCCGCCATCGCCCCGCTATATACGTGGAGTATTGTATAACTTCGCGTCGCATAAAAATAAACCACCAGTACTCAGACATAATTACGATACTAAAAATGTAGGCTATTACCAAAATAGATCCGCACAATGTTATAAAATAACTTTCACTTGAAACATTCTTGTAAAATCATAATACTATCAGAGATATTTCAATTGCAAATGACGAAATTTAACTTTGCATAGAAACAGAGGGAAGCCATTTTATACGACTCCCAATGAAATATAGCTCATGGGGCTTTTAGTAAAAATCCTTGAATTTATCACGATTTTACATGATTTTTGTGTGAAATGTTAATTACAATAAAGTTTTCTTACTTTCGATTTCTTTTTCAAGTTCTTCCTCGGTAATGTCTGCCATTTTTCTTGAAGTAAGTAGATTCCGCCAGCGACACTTCAAAGGGGCAGCCACACAATAATATACCTACGCGCTAGATGCTACACGGCGTCCTACCGAGATTGGACGAACGAGCGTTCGGGCGTATTCGGCGGCAAAACAATCAACTAAAGACAGTTGTAATTGTAAACATTCCGTCGTTAATTTATCATTTGAAATTATTTTATTTTTATGTATCTCGTTTAAATTAGAATCATTCAGGAAGATGTAATAATGTATACATATAAAGCATGTTACTCTTTCTATTTTTTAGCGCAGCATACTTTTATAACATTTTCAACAGCTGAATTGTTAAATTCTCTGCGCTTATATTTTAGGCGAAACGGTACGCTTTATTGGCAACTTTAATGTCAACTTGTCATTGTCAAAACCATGTGTATTTTGATTGGTGTACGTTGACTCGTATTATAACCTATTCTATTTTCTTAATATTTAATATTAATCAATTTATATTGGTAAGAAGATTGTGAATTACTAAAATGGCCAAAGTTAAGAACAAACGTAACTTTGGTAATGCTGACAAAGTCCACACAAAGAGAAAAGCCGAAGCAAATAAGAAGAAACTAAATCCATTCGAAGTTCACATTAATAGAGAAAAATTAAAAGTCTTAGGCAAAAAGTCTAAACATGACCGTGGTTTGCCTGGTGTATCTCGTGCTAAAGCTATACAAAAGGTATTTGTGAAGAAATTTTATGTTCTCAATTTAAAAGTAATACAAAACTATACGACATAAAAAAAAACCCGAGTTCTCGTTACATTTTTGCATTAACTTTTATTTAAATGAACCTTTGTGAGTTAAGGCCGTCATCAATTTAGATATAATTAATTGTAATGTTTTTCTCTTATAGAGAAAGGAAACTCTCGGTGTTGAAATGAAGGTAATGAATAAAACAAATGCGTTCATTGACCGACGTATCGGTGAGAAAAACACACAACTGTCAGCTGAAGACAGAATGATAGCAAGGTTTGCTGCGGAAAGAGCTAAGCAGCATAGTAAGAAAAATATTTATAATTTGGCTGATGATGAGATTTTGACACATAGGTAAATATATCAATTTTTAGAATGTAATTCTTAATAATAATATAAAGAGGATAGATTTGTATTTTTATATGTATGAATATAACTCAAAAACTTCTGTGCCGATTTCAACAATTCTTTCGCTAATGAAAAGCCACATTATCTCTCAGTAACATAGGCTATATAAATTTTTAAAAAGTCTATACTAATATAATTAAGAGAAACTAGTATTTTGTATGTAACAAATAAACTTAAAAATGACTGCTACTATTTCAGAAATAATTTCACCATTAGAGAGATATGTTATCACTTAGTGAAATAGACTGTATTTATTACTAGATTTTTAAATTCTTCTGTCTACTCTAAACTAACCTTTACTCTTCTGTCTATAAGAAATCTAATATACAGTAAATTTACTCCAATAGATCTCTCTGTAGGAATTATCACTGAATTTCTCGTAATTATTATTAATAGTGTTTTTTTTTTATTAAATTACCATATGAATTGTAGTATTTTTAATTTTGAGTAAATATTTAGGGAGCTCCATAGCTACTCTGTAAGCCGGTGTTGCGATCCGGTCTAACTCCTCGCTACAGTTATCAATATCGGTTATAATAATTTAAGTGGTAAGCGAAATGCACTGTAAATGATTATGATAATAATAGTGGCTAGCAGTGACATCTATTTTTAGAATAAATGTGAAAAACAGCTGTAAGCCCTAGCTGTGTAATAAAAAGTTACAATAATGTCACATGAAAGTTGAAATAATTTAGATTTTAACTTTATACAATATTTTAGAGGTCAAACTTTGGAACAGATTGAGAAATTTGACGACCCAAGATCTGATGATGAAGATGATGAGGGTGGGAAAAGGTTTGGTGGTCTAGACGGTAAGCTATTTTCAGGCATTTCCTACTAAATGCATGTTGGTTTCTCTTTGATGTAATTCTAAGCAGAATCCACTTTATTAAAAAATAATTCTTTTTGCAGATGAATTTGTATCAGACGGTCATTTCGGAGGTGGTATTTTATCCAAAACTGACGCACAAGATGGTGCTAAATCACATAAAGATTTAATTGAGCAGTTGATAGCGGAATCGAAGAAAAGAAAGGCAGAGAAACAGAAGGAAAAAGAACAGACATTGGATCTGACGGAGAAGTTAGATAGTGAATGGAAGGATTTACAACCGGTTGTGTTTAAGAAAGCGAGAGTTGAAGAGTCTTTGATAGATAAGTTGCTAAGTAAAGCAGATAAGGGCCAAGATTACGATAAAATGATGCGAGAACTCAAATTTGAAAAGAGAGGAACTGTAAGTCTTTATCTCATTTCTTGTTAACATTACATTATATATACTAATATTACAAACAAGAAAGATTTGTATTTTTGTGTGTATTGGGATAACTCAAAAACTAGCCGATTTTAAAAATTGTTTCATCATTAAAAAGCTACAATATCAGTGAGTAACATAGTATTTTGTACTATTTTTTGATTTGTTGACAAGTCGCGCGCATGAGCTAGTTAATATTATAAATTTAGGTGGATGTAGGAATGTTTATCAGAGTTTGTAGTCTTAACTGCTGAATGGATCTCGATGAAATTTGTC